GTGCTGGTCGCTGAGGAAATACATCAACTTCGCGCTGTGGATCGCCAGATCGGCTTTCACCATGGACGAAGCGGAGTCCAGCCCGGGGTCATCACATGTGGCTGCCGCAAGCCCGCCCGCCGCCACTCACTCAAGCCGGCCTCTGCTCACTCTAGCCCGCCCGGCCACTCCTCACTCTAGCAGTAAAAAGCGTAAAAAGACAGTATAAGTCATTATAATCCGTAATTATGTCTTGTATATTTTGAAGTTGCCATGTGTTGTGGCATGGCTTGTCTTTTCCAGCTGCAATAAAAAAAATAATAATTGGCATCAATATGTATTGTCATTCCATGATTAAACTCAAAAGTTTTATAGTTTATTTTACATTATATAGTGAGCATTAATAATAGACGCATCTTTAGACTATGAAAATCAATTATTTTAATAATGATTTGCTCTGTTTTTACAGTCTATCATCCACATATTTTAGGAAATATGCAGACTTGCTCAAACAAAACACCTGCTTCTGAGCTGCGGTGTGCTACACATCTAAAGCCCTGAAAGATTATGGGGCATTTTTCAGAGATTCATACCCACAGTCTTAGAAGGATGAATTAGGTGCGTTGTTATGCACCGGCTTTTCTTGGGTGTTTGCGGCAGAGATGAGCTGCAGTGAGTCTGCCTGCTGTCTAGCCTGTCTCGTCTCCAGCAGGAAGGACAGTCATGATCAAAAGGGAGAGCGAGCCGTTCCCCCCCTGAAGGTGTGCCTGGTGTCACAGAGCTGCCGAGCTGACGCTCCGGTCCCTCTTGTGTCTTTCATCTGTAAGCACTCTTCATCCCCCCACGGCTGCCAGCGAGACGCAGCAGAATAAAGTGCATGCTTTATTGAATATGAAGCCCTTTTGATGCCACGGCCCTTTGGTGACTGATGAGTCTGTGACTGTAGAGGAAATCTGGGTTAGTTATTTTGCCAGCGTCGCCCGTTTTTATACCGCTTTCTGTCTTAAATGCCTTCCCGGCTTGCATTAAGTAGCCTTCAGAAATTTAAGCCGTCAACATGCCGGATAGGCCATGGGGAGGTACTGTCATTGTTAAAGTCAAGGCCAGACAAATGTATCCGTGGTGAAATGAAAGGTTGAACCAGCTTTTCGATTAAATATAGGCTAACCCCACATCAAACAAGCTGTCAACATGTATTAGAGGCTCTTTGTGCAGATAAGAGGGCGTGAGACATCACAAGCTGGATGTCGCCAAAACCCCCAGAATAGGCTATATTTGATGCCATTCATTTTGCTCAATTGTCAGTGCTTCATACTGTATTTGATGTACTTCCTCCTCAAATCTTAGTTTTTTTTTCTCCACATGACATTGGTGTGAGATGCATTATTACATTGATTAAGGATTAGATGGTATTACTGCAGTCTGTCTCTGTTTGTGTTTTGTATTTCTGGAAAATAATATTTGAGGCATCAGATCGTTTTGCAAATTCACTTCATCAGTCTTGTGGCTTACTTCTGTGCTTGTGTTCTTTTTTGCTCCTCAAGGTCCTTAAAAATGTTTCATACTGAGTGTAAGTTTGAAAATAGGTCATTAGGAAGTGAGCAAGATGAGGGAAAGCTGGGAGCACGGTTAGATCTGCCATTAAATATGCATGAGGGCCATTTATGATGCTGTCAACCTGCTCCATGATCTGAAGTGTGTTGTTCAGACTTCACACACTGTCATTCTGCTTAATTAGAAGCTTTCTGCATTCGGCAAAGGTTACGATGGGTTTGATTTTTTTTAAGCCAATACGCTGCCTGAACAGCTAGCTCGTAAGGGTTTTTCTGTAGTATAATATTGTTTAGATTCTATCAATCTAATGGAAATGTTAACTGCAGTTAAATGTAGGTCTGATTCACATTTCTAGGCCCTCATGCATCATATTTTTTGTATGAGACCCGAGCAGGAATGTATTCAACTCACGAGTTCTGAAAATAAAATTTTGGATATGAATAATTGAATACTGTCTTGCTCTGTGTGCGGTTGCTCAGCAGTGCGTCAGGAGCAGGGGGGATGAACCGAGAGGAAGCCCCTGGCAAGTCTCCTGAGGAGATGTACATCCAGCAGAAGGTGCGGGTGCTGCTCATGCTCAAGAAAATGGGATCAAATGTAAGTGTCAGACCAGTGAGACTAAGACATCTTCTGATGTGCTTTAAAGGGGTCATATGATGCTGCTAAAAAGAACATTATTTTGTGTATTTGGTGTAATGAAATGTGTTTATGCGGTTTAAAGTTAAAAAAACACATTATTTTCCACATACTGTACATTATTGTTTCTCCTCTATGCCCCGCCTTTTTGAAACGCGTCGATTTTTACAAAGCTCATCGGTCTAAAAAAGCGAGGTGTGCTGTGATTGGCCAGCTATTCAGTGCATTGTGATTGGCCGAATACCTCAAACGTGAGACGGAAATGTTACGCCCCTCACATACTGTTGATGCCGTGTCAGGCCGGAGCGACGAGACATAAACCTTAAAACCCATTACAAACGAGGCATTCATTGCATCCAGTGGGGACATAATTATGGACTATAATGACTTATACCATCTTTTTACACGTTGCGTGTCTGCATTTGTGATCTGAGAACAAGCATTTGTGATGACAAACAACAAGTGCTAACGTTAATCCACACTGCCCAAAACTCGCGTTTGAATCATCAGAATCATCAGTTTTAAATGAAAACGTACTTACAGACTGAGTCAGAACTGCCGGCATTTTGTAGTCTACTCTTCCAGGAAACAGTCCTCCATAAAATGTGCTGGCGATCCACAGCACTAAGTTGAAGTATTCCCTCAGCGACCAGCACAGATCAGCTCTAGGCATAACGAAGCGGATATCGTCCTCTTTTGAAAGACCAAACAAAGTAGTTTCGCTTTCACAACGAAAAACACAGCGGCCTAGCGGAAGCCACGGCTTAGCGTGAGCTGAGGCCGGGCAAGAGTGAGCTGAGGCGGCAGGGTCGAGAACGGCGGTCCCGGCAAAGGAGCGGTGAAAACGGTGAAAGCCAATCCGGCGATCCACAGCACTAAGTTGATGTATTTCCTCAGCGACCAGCACGCATCAGCTCTAGGCATGACGAAGCAGATATCGTCCTCTTTTGGAAGACCAAACAAAGTAGCTTCGCTTTCACAACGAAGCACACAGCGTCTTCAGGACATGGCGGCAGCGGCAACAATACTACAAGCGAGAATAAAAGTTACGCCTTCTTTCTTTGCGTGAACATCTGGGCGGCGTTATGCAAATCTTCCCACATAGTGACGTAGATATGTGGGGGCGTGTTCGAACGAGCCGTTTTAGGTAGGTGTGGCTAACTCTTAACTTTTATAAAGAATATCTCTTTGGATTTGAGACTTTAGTCTTTGCAACTTTACAGATCTTCTTTATGCACCAAGAGCTTGTAACACTCCAAAGAGAAAGGAAAAAATGAAATCGCATCATATGACCCCTTTAAGTCGAACACACCTAATATGTACGTGTAATTGCATCGCTTTGACCGTAGATCCCACCTTCTCACACGCCATGATTGGTCCATT